TCTTCCGAGGTCCCCGAGTCTCACACACACACACACACACACACACACACACACACACACACACTCACACACTCCGCCGCCCCGTGCCCAATGGGCCTGCGGTCAAAGCCTCCTGAGCAGGCGGCAGCGGTGTGCACACGGAACGGGGGCTGAGGACAGACACCCGCGGAGGGCTCCCCACCTCTGGGGAGACTGAGCTGAAGCCTGCAGTTTACGATGCTGCTCAAGCCTTCCACTCAGAGCCGGTGCTCACCCCTGAAGACTCTAATCTCAGATGGGATCTTCTAGAAAAAGAAAGGAAAAAAAAAAGCCTGGGGGATTATCCTAACCAACTGCTAAGCAGTCTGTCAGTTTTCATCATGTGAGGACAGAGAGCAGCATACAGTGTAGGGGCGTGGCGAGCACAGGCCCTGGAAGCCAGTTTCAGTTCTCTTCTCACACAGCGGGGACACATTCTAGGCAAGCGGGTCTGTGTCTGGAGCATCCAGGGCTTGTTCATTCTGGGCCTCAGTCGAGAGGGGCCCTAACATCTTGGTTATTTCCAAGATCAGAGGGCAGGTAATAACCAAGTCGCTGACCCCACTTCTGATATCAGACAGTAAAGCGCTGAATAAATAGTATTTCTACAAGCTTCCAATGTGAGTTAACACCCAAAGGTGAGGTCACCCTTGCAGGTACGATCAGGAGCACATCCTCAAGTCCAGCAGAGCTCAGCCTCGGTCACCGCCCACACACTCGTGTACGCTTCGTGCCCATCACAGGGCACAGCTGAGTAAGGCCTGCAAAGCTAAAAACCTTTGGCCCTTTTCAGAAAAGAATTTGCTGACCCTTGCTGCTAAAAAGTATACAGACAGCATTTTATGTTTGACCTTGGGATGGGGAGTAGATCTGGAAAGGTGAGCCGAAGAATACAGGTTAAAAAAAGACTTGCCAAAGGGCCGTTTAAAGGGAAGTTCAAATTTCTAAAACATGATCTTGACTCTCACGCTATAGGAGTCCACTGAACGTGATCCTGAGCGCACAGTAACCCTGGGATCCTGGCCCGCCATGGCTGTGTAACTGAACTAACCCTGTGGGGATTTTCTCTGTATTTTCTGCAAATGTTTTCAGTTTACGCCAGTTCTGGTCTCATTCACATGGGGATATGCCATCTTTTCTGCACGACCATAAATCAGACTGCAAGGCACCTGCCCCTCCTCCCCACTGTGTCTCACTTTACAGGGGAAAACCGGAGCACCACGCTCACCTTGGGCAGCAGAAAAACAGTCTGCTGCTCGAGGGCGACAGCAACAATCGATCCCCGTTTGGGAGTGCTGTTCTCTGAAAGTCTGGAAGTGCCTTTTAGGTTACTGAGAAGCGGCAGGAGGAAAGTGCTGCAATGTGCTCTGGGTAGGGCTCTCGGTCTCCTGCTGCTAACACTCCCTCAGCAAGACCCCCCAATCCCTCTTTCTGACCCCAGCGCCCACCCTGCCACCTCTGGAGCTGTTCCAGCTCATGATCCAGAACCGCCCATCGCCCACAAAGCCCTCTCTAAGCCCTTAACCTCTCCCTCAAATACTGCCGCTCCTTCCTGCCCTAAGCGGACCTCGGTTCTCCCCTAAGGACACAGGTTCCTGACGCTCTCCCCCGTCTAAAAAGACAGCAGCCTTCCCAATCACAGGCCCATGAGTGAGAGAAGCGGAACCGCTGCCAGCGCGGCTGACTCTCCCAGACACTGACACCAGAAGAGGGGTGCTGCCGTCCCCAAACCCTAAAACCCAGGGACTCTGAGACTGGGCGGTGGAAGGCAGGGACACGTGGACAGGAGCTCGACAAACGGAGCTACTGTGTGACGGTGAACGGCTGGAAGGCAGAGACCCACGCGCTGAGAGTGAGAGGAACAAGCGTTCGCCGAGGTCAGGGGTCGAGCTCCAGGCTCACGACTACGCAGCAGCACCGCGCCAAGGGCTGGGCACCCGAGGCCAGTTCCGCCACCTGTACCCCAGGCCCCAGCCCGCGCGGCTCCTGGGGACCGCCTAGCAGGCCCGCCTGTCCCGCAGGGTCACTCTCCAAGGGAAACACCCTACAACTTCCAACCGGCAGCAAACCCCACTGGTGCTCTCTCTCAAACCAGGCCCAGAACCGGCTACTTCTCGCAGCTCCCGTGGCCACCCCACCCCCACCTGTCTCACTGGCCTGCAGCCTCGCCTTGCTACACTATTCTCAACAGGGTAGCCGTAAGGGCTCCTAAAAAACCCAAGTCGGATGAGGTACTTCTTTGCTTAAATCCTCCAATGCATTTCCAGGACACTCAGAGTAGCAGCCTTAGTCAGGTCCCAGGGTCATTCGCCAGCAGCCACACCAGGGCCCTCCTCCTGGCCCCACCCGCTGCCGGCGGGGCCACCCAGGGCCACTGCACCCGCCCTGGCCTCACCGCACACGGCCAGGGAGCCCCAGCCTCCTCAGGTCTTCCCTCTGACGGTATCTCAGGGGGCCCCCGACACCCACCCCCCGAACCCTGCTTAAAATCACACCACTGCTTTTGTTCTCTTTTAGCTACAGCACTTAGCAAACATGACCATGACGTATCTTACTTAACTATCTCTCCACTGTTTCCCCAGACAGGGGTCAGGTACTTTCATCTGTCTTCCCTCACAGCTCTCTCCCCAGTGCCTACTACGGCGCCCGGACACAGGGCAGACACTTCAGGAGGAGGTGCGGGGTCAGTGAGCGAGTCTGTAGGGTAAGGGCCAGGCCTGGCTCAGCTCTTACGTTTCTAAGTTATGGACCGATAACCAGGCACTCACAGCCGGGAAGGAAATGCTGCTGCCAAGACAAAGGCGCGTGGAGTCCTAGTAGGATCTTTCCATACTGTGGCAGTAAGTCTTTTTTCTCATTTATAGCAAAGGAAATAAAATACAGAAATTATGAGAACTAGTATTCAACACAATTATATTTAGAGCCCCTGAACTGAGCCCTATTTTTATATTTCTGATATACCACTTATTCTCACCACCATAGAAGATGTTTATCTATCTATAGGGGGTATATCTGCATGATACACCAGTTTCCTAAGACAAAAACATTCAGTTGTAATTCTTAAGACAGAAAATAATTTTCTCAATAGAACAAAGATCAATTTTTAGAAAAGCAGTGTATGAAGGTCGACTCTACCTTCCAACTATCTTTCACTGTTTTCCTGTTATTAATCTTTCCCTAAACTAAAAAAAAATTCTAAATTAATTACTGCTGAAGGCTCAGATATTACTAAAAATAACCATTTATCAAGCTATTTTAAAAGGAAGAGGAGAAAAATGTAAAAAGAGCTGACAGTATTTGTAGATAAGGACAGTACAAGCACTCCTTGAATGGAAGTCTGTTTACTCACCAGGCAGACAGCATCTATCTGTCGGCCATGAGAATAAATATGACATTAAAATGAGCACAGATATTCTTATTGTCATCAGACACACAAAATGAATCTAGCCACTAGATCTAGGTATAAAGCATGTTGCTTCAGCTAACCACAATTAAAGTGTCCTTTAAAATACCACACGTTATAATAAGGCTACACCATAATTATTTTGCTAAGGGACCCCCCCTCCAACAAAACTAAATAAAGGGGGGGGGGGGGGGGGGGGGTGGGGGCAGAAAAAACAATCTACTCTTCATTTCAAATGCTGAGACTTCACAGTCCACCAAGCCTTTGAAGAGTACTTTGTTATCCTCTCTCCCCAAGGAACTCATTACCTGTATTTCCATGAAGGCACTGCTGACAGACACCAGCTCCCTTATTAAAGATTTCCCTTTTGGTGGGAACTCAAAAAACTAATCATACCATTTTCAAATTCAATTAACAGGTATCTTTTGGCACACTGACAATAAAGCTATTATATTCATTTCAAGTAAACGTTTCAATTGTTTTGTAACTCTAATTAATGATGACTTGTATATTTTTATTACTTACCGAGTCCTAACAGATCAACAGTGGGCTCTGCAGCTTTTTTAGGGCTGGTACTTTTTTTAGGCTCCAATTGCTGATCTTCTTTCTTCTGCAGCTTTAAAGTAAATAATCAGATTTATTATTTTTTTCAAATAAACTGAACAAGACTTTTAAGCCCCAATTAGGCATAGTTTTGATAAAGTTAGTGTAATGTAGCCTATGAAGAAGCATAGTGTGATAAGGCTTAGAGCATTTATTAGCATAAACTTAAACACAATCATTGAACTTGAACTGATAAACCGGACACGAGGACGCCAAAATAGTGAATGTAGAAATTTAATCTTAATGTAATTGTTCCTAAGCAATTAAATCCTTCACGTGAACATTCCACACGTCGTAGTATTATACTTGCTTGCTCCTGCTGCCAGGCAGGCCCCGGGGTCCTCGTGAGCAGAGCAGAGGCCACCGGCACTAATGGAACCTGATCTGATGAGCAGGCAGACCTCGTCTTACTGCTCTTCCCTTTACTGTGCTTCACAGATATCACGCTGCTTACAAACTGAAACTCTGTGGAGCATTCTTCCAACAGCATTTGCTCACTTTGTGTTTCTGTGTCACATTTTGGCAATTCTCACAATATTTCAAACTTTTCATATTTGCTACGGTGCTCTGTGATCAGTGATCTTTGATGTTACTCTGTAATTGTTATGGGGGAGCCACGAACCACACCCATATAAGACTGCAAACAATCAATAAACGTTGTGTGTGTTCTGACTGCTCTACCCACCGGTGGTTCTCCATCTCCCGCCCTTTCCTTGGACCTCCCTAGTCCCTGAGACACAATACAGAAATTAGGCCAATGAGTAACCCTACAGGGGTCTCTAAGTGTTCAAGAAAAGAAACAGTCGCATGTCTCTCACTTTAAATCAAAAGGTAGAAATGATTAAGCTTAGCAAGGAAGGCACGTTAAAAGCCCAGACTGGCCAAAAGTAGGCTTTCTGCACGAAACAGTCAAGTTGTGAATGCAGAACAAAAGTTCTTGAAGGAAGTTAAAAGCGAATAGTCTTAGTGCTGAGATGGAGAAAGTTTCAATGGTCTGGAGAGAAGATCAAACCAGCCACAACATTCCCTTAAGCCAAAGCCTAATCCAGAGCAAGGCTCTAACTCCCTTTAACTCCCTGAAGGCTGAGAGAGGTGAGGAAGCTGCAGAAGGAAAGTCTGAAGCCAGCAGAGGCTGGTCCATGAGGCTGAAGGAAAGGAGCCGTCTCCATAACAACAAAGTGCAAGGGGAAGCAGGACGTGCTGATGCAGAAGCTGCAGCAAGTTAACCAGAAGATCTGGCTAAGATAATTCATGAAGGTGAACAGATTTTCAAGGTAGACGAAACAGCCTTCTGTTGGAAGAAGATGCCATCTAGGACTTTCATAGCTGGAGAGGAGAAGTCACTGTCAGGCTGTGAAGCTTCAAAGGGCAGGCTGACTCTCCTGTTAGGAGCTAATGCAGCTGGCAACTTTAAGTGGAAGCCAATGCTCATCTACCGTTCCAAAAATCCTAGGGCCCTTAAGAATTATCCTCAATCTATGCTGCCTGTGCTCTATAAATGGAACAGAAAGCCTGCATGACAGCACATCTGTTTACAACATGGTTTACTGAATGTTTTAAGCCATGTATTGCTCAGAAAACAAGGTTCCTTTCAAAATGTGACTGCTCGCTGACAATGCACCTTGTCACCCAAGAGCTCTGATGGAGATGGACAACAAGATTCATGTCGTTTTCATGCCTGGTAATATAACGTCTATTCTGCCGCCCGCGGATCAAGGAGTCACTTTGACTTTCAAGTTTTATTCTTTAAGAAATACATTTTGTAAGGAGACAGCCACGGACAGTGATTCCTCTGATGGATCTGAGCAAAGTCATTTGAAAACCTGGAAAGGATTCATCATTCTAGATGCCATTAAGAACATTCGTGATTCATGGGAAGAGGTCCAAACATCAACATTAACAGGAGTTTGGAAGAAGTTGATTCCAACCCTCATGGATGACCTGGAGGGGGGTTCAAGACTTCATGGAGGAAGGAACTGCAGATGTGGTGAAAACAGCATGAGAACTAAAAGTAGAAGTGGAGCCTGAAGATGTACAGTGTTGGCCAAAAGGTTCGCTCAGTTTTTCCATAAGATGTCTCTAGTAGCACTTAGTTGTCTTTAACTTCATTCGAAACAATCTTGTTAGATTGTATGTGACAGCTGTCATATCAGCGTGCATTTAAAACAAAGACATCAAAGATGTCAAATTCTAAATTATGCTTTATTATTTCAACAGAGGTAAAAATGCAACTGAAACACAATAAAAGATTTGTCCAGTGTATGGAGGTGCTGTGACTGATCCAACGTGTCAAAAGTGGTTTGCAAAGTTTCGTGCTGGAAATTTCTCGCTGGACAATGCTCCATGGTCGGGCAGACCAGTTGAAATTCATAGCCATCAAATTGAGACATTAATTGAAAACAATCAATGTTATACCATGCGGGAAATAGCTGACATACTCAAAATATCCAAATCAAGCGCTGAAAATCATCTGCACCAGCTTGGTTATGTTCATCACTTTGATGTTTGGGTTCCACGTAAGTTAAGTGAAAAAAGCCTTTGTGACTATATTTCCGCATGCCATTCCCTACTGAAACATAATGAAAATGTTCCGATTTTAAAACAAACTGTGACGGGCGTTCCACGACAATGTGGAACGGAAGAGAGCGTGGGGCAAGGGAAATGAACCACCACCAACCACATCAAAGGCCGGTCTTCATCCAAAGAAGGTGATGCTGTGTATATGGTGGGACTGGAAAGGAGTCCTCTATTATGAGGTCCTTCTGGAACACCAAACGATTAATTCCAACAAGTACTGCTCCCAATTAAACCAACTGAAAGCAGCACTTGACAAAAAGCACCCAGATTCAGTCAACAGAAAATGCACAATCTTCTATCAGGATAACACAAGACCGCATATTTCTTTGATGACCAGGCAAAAACTGTTACAGCTTGGCTGGGAAGTTCTGATTCCACCGCCGTAGTCACCAGACGTTGCACCTTTGGATTTCCAGTTATTTCGGTCTTTACAAAATTCTCTTAATAGAAAACATTTCAATTCCCTGGAAGACTGTAAAAGGCATCTGGAACAGTCCTTTGCTCAAAAAGATTAAAAGTTTTGGGAAGATGGAATTATGAAGTTGCCTGAAAAATGGCAGAAGGTAGTGGAACAAAAAAGGGTGAATATGTTGTTCAATAAAGTTCTTGGTGAAAATGAAAAATGTGCCCTTTATTTTTACTTAAAAACCGAAGGCACTTTTTAGCCAACCCAATAACTAAATTGCTGCAGTCTCAGGATAAAACTCTCACAGATGAGGAGTTGCTTCTTACGGAGAAGCAAAGAAAAGTGTTTCTTGGGATGGAATCTACTCCTGTTGAGGATGCCGTGAAGATCGCTGGATGACAACAAAGGATTTAGAATATGACATAAACTTAGTTGATAAAGCAGCACAAGGGTCTGAGAGGAACAACTCCAATTTTGAAAAAATTCTACCGTGGGTAAAATGCTATCGAACAGCATCATATGCAACAGAGAAACCGTTCCTGAAAGGAAGCGTCAATCCACACAGCAAACGTCATCACTGCCTCACTTTAAGAAACTGCCGCAGCCGCCCCACCTTTGGCAGCCAGCACCCTGATCAGCCAGCAGCCACCAGCATGGAGGCAGGACCCTCCACCTGCAAAAAGACTACGGCCTGCTGAAGGCCCAGATGATGGTTAGTTTTCTTCTGGCAATAAAGTATTTTTAAATTAAGGTATGGCTGAGTAATATTCCACTGAATATGTAGCCCACCTCTCTTACGCCAAGAAAATAAAACATTCATTCATTCGCTCATTTATTTCTCAAACCACTCCCACAAGATCATTTCCTCAACTACCTAAAGAACTCATAGCTCAGCTGTTACATGAGTTCATTTTTTGTTAGCTGTACAAATGCATAAATTTCTAAGAACATATATATATATATATCCCCTTACTTGTTTCTGGTCACTTACTGTCTCCCCCTCAGAATCAGCTTTTTAACTAATTAGCCTACCAATCATTATAGATATCAATTCTTTTTTTTTTTTTTTTTTTTTTTTTTTTTTTTAGCAGTACGAGGATTTTCAACTGTTTAGGGGTTGGTGCCCCTAACTCCTGTGCTGTTTCAGGGTCAACTGTACTCTGTTTCTTGGGTCTTCAAAACTCTAAAAAAGAAACAAATCAAATGACAACATAGCATTCATAATTATTTGCACAATCGCATTTCTCTGCTTATATTCTCTGTTATTACAAGTAAAGAAACTGAGTAGCCTAAACAAAATAAATTTTTTAAGCATCTCAAAATCAACTGAATTTTGACTTACCTTTTCTAAAAATGTTTAACCAGTGAGAGAATTCTGAGAGGTTGAGAAATTTTAATTTTGTTTAGGCTACATGATTTTTTAGAAGACGTGCCAAAAGAAAACCAGCTATATCTAGATTACTATCAGGAATCTGGGAATGTGGAAATAATTAATTCATGAAACTTTTTACCAACTACATCTAGAGTAGAACATACAGGTCCCAAAATTAGGTATGCAAACTTTCACTTAATCCCATCGTTTTAAGCAATCCACTTGCTGCACCTGGCCCAGCCACTCCGCGGCATGTGGGATCTTCCCGGACCGGGGCACGAACCCGTGTCCCCTGCATCGGCAGGCAGACTCTCAACCACTGCGCCACCAGGGAAGCCCAACATTTGAGATTTTAACGTTACTATTATAACCTGACTCTTCCTGCTCTCTTTCTTCACTAACATCTCGGAAGCTGGTGGCTTTACGTTTCATCGCACCGTCAGGTACTAGGAGAGAACACAGTGTTACCAAACACACTTGAGTGGTACCACATGAACGTCAGCCTGCTTTATCAGATACCTTACACTGTTTCAAGATTTCCTTCATAGCCAGGTTGGGAACTCTCTAGAAATTACAGCAATTTATGACTAAATCACAAGAAACCTAGAGGTTTTCATCCTTTCATTCTCTGCCCTAAAATGATGCATTACGTCTACAG